ATGTATGTGTATCAGTTTTTTATCTACATGTACGTATGTGCAGCACATGCATGCAGTGCCTTCAGAGGCCAAAAGAGGGTGTCAAATCCCCTGAACTGTAGTTTAAAAGCAATTGTTAGCTGCCATATGGATATTGAGAACAGAATTCTGGTCCTCTGCAAGAGCAGCCAGTGCTCTTAACTGCTGAGCCATCTCTCCAACCCCTGATTATATTTTTTATGGTAATTAGAATATTCTGGATTTCTTCTTTTTAAATTTTGAAAAATATTTTCAAGGCATTCATTGATTCATTCCACAGATATATAAATGTATTAGCATACAGTGGCTTAAGGAAATTTATTTTTTAATTGCTGCTTATATTTTCTTTCCTGATATTTGTGTCAGTTTTAGTAGCTTTTCCTTGACCACTTGTCAGAAGTTATCTACTATCACTGTTATTTTGTTTGCTTGAGATAGAGTCTCACATTATAACAAAAGCAGGCAGGGATCCTTGAATTCTCAGCGATCCTCCTGGCTTCGTCTTCCGAGTGCTGGGATTAAAAGTATGAGTTACAATGCCTGACATTCTTTTTTGTAAAAGAACCAACTTTTTAGCTTTGTTAATTCTATCTACTTTTCTTTTTAAAACTTATTACATTTAATTATTTGTGTGTGTGTGTGTGTGTGTGTGTGTGTGTGTGTGTGTGTAGCATAGAGCACACATGTGGAGGTCAGAGGATCTCCACAGGAGTTGTTCTCTCCTACCACAGGGGTCTTGGAGCTCAAACAGGTCATCAGGCTTGGCAGCAAGCCCTTTACTCCCTGAACATCTCACCAGCCCTGCCCTTCTCTTGTCATATCCTGCTTTTTGAGGGTTCCTTTTCTTTTTCTTATTTTAGTATTAGGTGTTTAACTCATTCATGTTTAATGTTTTTTTCCTAAATATGTAAGCACCTAAATTTATCCCCTTTGCTGTATGTATTCCACAATTGTACATGCTGTGTGCACACAAACGTATATACAGACATGGTTATTCTTTATGATGTTTTTGCATTGGTTCCTTTGACCTCCGAATTACTTAAAAATGTGATTTTTAGGGCTTGAAAGATGGTAATTAAGAGCTCTTGCTGCTCTTGCAGAGGACACAAGTTCAGTTCCCAACACCTACGGTTGGGTGGCTCACAAATGCCTGTAGTTCCACCTCCAGGAGATCTGCCTTTTCTAGCCTCTAAGGGCACCTGTACTCACCCACCCACCCACACACATATACAGAATTTAAAATAATAAACCTTTAAAGTTAAAATAATACGTTTTCAAGTGGGCAAAACTTAAAAGGCTTTATAAATGTATTTCTTTTTTAAAAAGTTCTGGTCTGGTGTGATGGCACGTGCCTGAAATCCCAGAATTTGGGCAGTGGAAGCAGGAGGATCAGTAATTAGGTAGTGAGTTCAAGGCCACCCTGGACTACACCTCTACAAAACAACCTTGTTATTAGTTCTGTTAGTACACACCTTTAATCCCAACACTTAGCAGACTGAAGCAGGAGGATCACAAGTTTGCTATCCTGAGAAAGGGTCTCATGTATCCCATAAAGACCTAAAATTCACTATGTAACTGAGGATGGCCTTGAACCTCTCATCCTTTTGCTTCTGCTTTCCAAGTGCTTGGATTACATATGTGGGATTTTGAGGGTTTTTTTTTTTTTTTTATAGTTTTGGGTTAGATAGTATTAGGGACTGAACTCAGGGCCTTATGTATGCTAGGCAGGTGCTTTACTACTGATCTATATCCCTAGCATCACAAGTTTAATGCCAGCCTGAACTGAAAAGGCAAGATTTTTTTTGGTATTTTTTTTTATGTGTATGAGTGTACTGCCTACATGTGTGTAAGTGTACCCATGTCGTGGAGTGCCCTCGGAGGTCAAAAGAGGGTGTCAGATCCCCTGGAACTGGAACTACAGACAGCTGTTAGTTGCCATGTACATGCTGGGAATCGAATCTGGGTCCTCTGCAAGAGCAGCTAGTGCTCCCAACCACTGAGTCATCTCTCCAGCTCCATAGCAAGATCTTTGTTAGAAAATGTTTTATTAGATTTTTTCTTTGAGAATTTCATACATCTATACAATGAAATATATCCACCTCTATTTCCCCTCCAACTCTCCCTGTATTCCCTCCAATGCACCCCACTCCCAAATTCATCTTTTCTTTTTTGCAAGCTTTTATCTCAAAAAAGAAAAAAGACACAGCCTTAATATTGCCATTATTAAGACAGTTTTATGTTTGTGTACCCTATCATGGTGCAAAAGGACACTAAACCCAATGTGACATCCCTACCAAAATCTAGTCAAGATTAAATAGCAGAAAAAACTAAGT